AGCCTGTGCTGTAGAGCCTGAGGGTCGCAAGTACTGAGCCCTCGGGCTATACAGCCGCTGAGGCCCATGCAGCCTAGAGTGTGCTCTAGAGAAGCCACTGCCATGAGAAGCCCCCACAGCACAGCTGGAGAGCAACAAGACTCAGCACAGCCAAACAGAAATAAAGAAATAGAAGTATATTTTAAAAAGAAAATATAATTTGGAACGTTCAAGAGACATGTAAAATTCAAAGAATTTGTTAGATTTAGAACTTTTGAGAGGCACACCTAAAAGAATGTAGGAGCAGAAATATGTCTCATTCACTGCTGTGTCCCTTAGTTCCACATGAGCCTAGCATAGAGTAGGTGCTAAGAAATATTTATTGAATTATTGAAATTATTGAATGCTTAATCCATTAATTATTGTGATTAATAATATTGTGATTATAGTGATTAATAACAAATGGTGAAAGAAGACTAAATATTTTTATGAAGACTGTTCACCTAAGCTTTCCCAATGGCTCAGAGGGTAAAGAATTTACCTACAGTGCAGGAGACAAGGGTTCAATCCCTGGGTCAAGAAGATCCTCTAGAGGAGGAACTGGAGACCCACTTCAGTATTCTTGCCTGGAAAATTCCATGGACAGAGGAGCCTGGTGGGCTAAGTCCTGAGGGTCACAAAGAGTCTGATACCACTGAGCTACTAAACACACATTCACCTAAGCAGTTAGTAAGACCATTTTGGAAGCAGTTCTATACAACATCTATTTTATTGTTGCTGTTGTTCAGTCACTAAGTTGTGTCCAACTTTTTTGACTCCATGGATTGTAACATACCAGGCTCCTCTATCCTCCACTGTCTCCCAGAGTTTGCTCAAATTTATGTCCATTGAGTCAGTGATCCTGTCTAACCATCTTGTCCTCTGTCGCCCCCTTCTCCTTTTGCCTTCAGTCTTTCCCAGCATCAGGGTCTTTTCCAATGAGACGGCCCTTTCCATCAGGTGGCTGAAGTATTGAAGCTTCAGCTTCAGTATCAGTCCTTCCAGTGAGTATTCAGGGTTGATTTCCTTTAGGATTGACTGGTTTGATCTCCTTGCAGTCCAAGGGACTCTCAAGAGTCTTCTCCAGCACCACAATTTGAAAGCATCAATTCTTTGATGCTCAGCCTTCTTTGTAGTCCAACTGTTACATCCATACATGACTACTGGAAATACCATAGCTTTGACTATACGTACCTTTTTCAGCAAATTAATGTCTCTGCTTTTTAATATGCTGTCTAGGTTTGTCATAGCTTTTCTTCCAAGGAGTAGACATCTTTTAATTTCATGGCTGCAGTCACTGTCTGCAGTGATTTGGGAGACCAGGAACCTTAAATCTGTCACTGCTTCCATTTTTTACCCCTTCTATTTACCATGAAGTGATGGGACCAGATATGATTTTTGTATTTTGAGTGTTGAGTTTTAAGGTAACATTTGCACTCTTTTTTCACCCTCATCCAGAGGCCCTTTAGTTGCTCTTCACTTTCTGCCGTTAGAGTGGTATCACCTGCATATCTGAGGTATTTATTTCTCCTGGGAATCTTGATTCCAGCTTGTGATTCATCCAGCCTGGCATTTCATATGATGTACTCTGCATATAGGTTAAATAAACAGGGTGGCAATATACAAACTTGTTGTACTCCTCTCCCAGTTTTGAACTACATCTATATGTATATACATGTGTAGTTGTATGTCTTCTGCTTGTGTCCATCTGTTTAGGAGTCTCTTTTTGGACATTCTCTTTAATCACAGTCTTTGTACTCTAAGTCATATTTTAGCTAATGATGTAACACATAATGATTATTATAACACTGGAAGCACTTCACAGTGCCTGGAAGTGTAGTGAGTGCTTTACATGGGTTAATCCTTACACTAGTCTATGATAGTAGAGAAGCATCAAGAAGAGTCCCACTTATGGGAGAGTCAAGATACAAACTAGGCAATCCAGTATCAGAGCACATGCTCCTAACTACTCTGATGTACTACCTTCCTTTGCTGTGAGAAGAGACTAAGTTGACCATCCTCTGCACTTAACCATTCACTATTTTTAGAATATACTATAGGAAGAAATAGCCAGGAATCTCTTTTATAGGGTGAAATTTTAGTGAACATGTGTTGTTTCTCACTGTGCAGCATCTCTGCCTTCTTCCACTGAGGACAGTTCTTCAATTTAGCTTTTGGAAACGGCTCTTCTTCCATTGAAGAAGATCTTAGAAGGAAATCAGCATTCAGTCTAATTAGATCACCTGTTAATCATTTTCTTCCTAAGATAATGAAACAGGAAACTAAATGGTACTGTGTTCTAGTGACTTCTAGGAGAGAGAAAGCACTTTGCTCTTAGGGGAGAATTAACATGTTGGATATGAACATTTGCTTGGCTCAAAAGTACTCTGTTTCCAGTATCTTAACACCATTGGTGGTACATGACAGATTCTCAGCAAGTGTCTTTGGTGTGAGTTGGTGGATATATGGGTGAATAATTGAATGGACAAGCCAGCTAAGGTTTTCACAGTGCTAAGGTAGAGTTTTCATAGATGCCATTCTCCAGACAAGCTCCTGGAGCCTGCATGTGGTGCACTACCACTGGGCACATCACAGCCTTACTGACTTTGATCCATGTGGATTTTTTCTTAAGCTGTTGTAATGAAAACAACTGTTTTGATTATTTGTACAGTCTTTCTTTTTGTTAAGTTATTGTAATATTGAGACTACCTCATGTATTTTGTGACTACCAGAGGTTAAAGAATATGTATGAAATCTTTATTTTTGTATTTAAAGAAGTTTTCACAGCATGACTACAGAAAATTTGTAAAATATTTTAGGTTGATAAATTGTCTAATTTCACTTTCTTATACAAATACTATTATCATTTTTGTGATCTTTCCACTGTTTTTCCACATGCATGTAAAAGTATTCTGAATATTTGCTATCATAACTTCGTTATCTTTAAATTGTAAATTGCTTTTTAAGATGAGAGAGATAGGAAGGATGGGCTTCAATTGTATCTTGCTCTCCATGACACTACTGCCTTTACATGCTATAAGTATTAGAAGCCAGAGGCCTAAAATTATTTCAGAGAAATTAAGAATAATTAATAAGAAGTGATTGAATTGAGTACCTCTTTGGTGTATGAAGACAGGAAATAAAATCTCTTACAGATTTAAGTGCATTAACTTCAGGAATCATATTCGATGGCATGGTTTTACCTTTAAACTATGAACTATTGTAGTTAAAGCCAACAGTGTATTACTGATTTTCTCATCATGAAAAACTAGACTTTTTTTTTTTTTTAGCATTTAGTACCAAAAAATTGTTTCACATTTCTCTATTGTAGAATAAAACAAATTATAGTAATAGATAACAGAAAAATGAGATTTTTATCCTTTAATAGGAAAATAGGTTTCTTTTTTCTTGCCTGCCAAAAACTATACATATAAATTTTAATTTTTGATCATAGTAATCGTACTAGTCTGTGTCATTAGTGTATTTACTTATGGCTTCTTCATGTAAGTTTGAGTTCCCATTTTTATTTTATCAGTCTTATTTCTTATTACAATTTCCTGAACCTCTTGATATAAAATATAAAAACCTTTTCCTATAAAATAAGGTGTAAATTATAAATAAAATAATTTTGCATTTTGGGTGTATACATGGCTTATTTCAAACAGGAGTTTCAGATCTCAGTGTAATGTAGTAAAGGTTTATTTCTCATTGGGAGTTTTATGCACAGAAAGAGCCTAGAGAATTTGTTAGCGTATGTTAGCATATTCTGAACATAGTTCAAAATCTAGGTGAAGAGAAATATATATATACTTCTCCTTCCATCATCTACGGAATACTTTGCCAGGTGCAGTAATTCATAACACTTGTTTTAGAGTAGGGTGATTACAGAGCAGCTCTGAAACCCTGGTGAGAGTTATAGGCCCTCTGCCCAGAGAAAATGAATGCATGAACACATGCACATACTTGTATAAGTAGTTGGAGGGGTCCATAACCCCCTAATTCCATTGGCCTCCAGATTTAGAGCTGTTTTCTAGAGAGTGAGAAAGGACTTAATATGTACTGAAAAGAAATTATATACCATATTTGAACCCAAGAGCTCTTCCTATACAGAGCTATTTCTGGTATCCCATATTGCCTCCTAACCAACCATTAATCATCATCACTTGTTCCTTCTTCCCAAGTTACACAAGATCTTTTAAGTTTTGTTTTCTTCATTAGTAGTGCTCCCTGGTTAAACTTTCATTTAAAATGTCTTAAGATATTGGCTAATGTGTGGTGAAGTCTTTACTATAACCCAATGTCAATATTAATTAAGTTGAAAATAAGATAAGACCTAACTAAAACCTGCATTTCTTTGAGTTTAATGCTTTTAGGAGGTGATGGTTTTCCCTTTATTTGTGGCCATACCACATGCCTTGCAGGATCTCGATTCCATAACCAGGGATTGAACCTGTGTCTTGGCACTGAAAGTACAGAGTTTTGGACCTCCTGGAATTCCCAGGAGCTTATTTTTGTATTTGACTTTGAATTGCATATCTACTTGGACACTAAATAATTTTTTTATCCTAGTGAAAGTAATGCATGATTGAGCCTTGTTCATACTTGTAGGATGGGGGAAATAGAAAAATAAATGTGACTTATTAATGATATGAGAAAATCCATCCATAATGAACTCAAGCAATCTGTTAACAAATATGATACCGAATGAATCCTTTTTTAGCATTACAGGGAGAACTGCTTGATGACTAAAATTGTCAGTCTTAAAATTCCTAGCCTCATTTATTTATCTAAAGGTGAATATTGTTTGTTGTTCATGTCTGACTCTGTGAGTCACAGTTAAGCTGGATAAAGGCATGTTCCTGCTAAGGCAGCATCTTAACCTCTATCCACAAGGTCATGGCTGGCATAGGCTTCCAGGCACATAAAGAGAGGTGAGTAATCTGTGGACTCGGCATGCTGAATTTGGTCTTTCTCTTTCCTAGGCACTTGGGCCTGGATCTGGTACCCCGAAAGGACTTTGAAGTAGTGGATTCAGACCAGATCAGTGTCTCAGACCTCTATAAAATGGTAAGAAATATTACACAGGGTAGTTTGCTCCTGCACACTTAATTTTTTTCTTTTATTATCTCTAATTACATTATGAAACAATATTGCTAAAATCATTCACCTTTGTTTCAAGTGTATTTAAGGGGGTCTTCCTTATCAGGACAGTACCTAGCGTACTCAGTCTCTACAGGGAATTACTATGTAGGACTGTTGGGATTACTGGGATGTCTCGGGGTCATTTCTCAGGTGGTTTTGCTGGTGAAGAGAGCTCCTTCAGCATGAAGAAGTTACTAAAAGAGAAGATACTGAAGCTGAAAAGAGCCAGTTATTAGTTAATGTAGTGATTAAATAAATAAAGTACCAGCATTTCTTTAAAAAATTTTTTTTATTGAGTTATAGTTGATACACATTGTTGTGTTCGTTTCTGGTGTATAGCAAAGTGATTCAGTTTTATGTGTGTATGTGTGTGTGTATTCTTTTTCAGATTCTTTTCCATTATAGGTTATTATAAGGTATTGAATATAGTTCCCTGTGTTATACAGTAGGATGTTGTTTATCAGTGTACCAGTACTTCTAAGATAAATCTTTAACTATTTGTTGGTTATTATAAAAGTGTATTGAATTGATTGATGACCAGGGTGGGTGACATTTTGCAGGCTGAGTCAGAAGAAGTAACTAAAACAAAGGTATGAAATTTTAAAGTAAAACAAATAAACATAAGGAATCTCAGTTGATTATTAAGCTTAGACTAAGGGACTGGGTCAAGCCTCACTTTGAGGAGAACATATTTGAGGTGAGAATTACAAGTTTTAGAAGAAATTACAAATTTCTGTTAAGAAAATGTAATATTTTTAGGGAACACAGAGAATGCAAAGTATGTTGCTTGGTCAAGGACCACAGAAAATTTGCCTAAATAAAATATACAAATAACATATCAATTGCTTCTGTATATTCATAAGAATACAAAAGCATTTGTGTTCAGTTGTCATAAAGTGATAGGTGTGAAATTAAAGATGAACATGACATTCTTTTTCTTAAGAATATCACCATCTAGGATATTGGTTGCTCTTTCTAGGTTATGGAGGATCAGATAATATTTCTTCCCAGGACAATACAAGTATGATTTTGCATACAAAATTCTACACTCAGTTTTAGAGAATTGATAGTTCCCTCTGAAACCCATGCATGGTCCCCATGTTTAAAAGTTACTCTAGTGGGATCAGATAGACCACAAACAAGAATGTTTATGAGCTGCATGTAATAATTAAGATATACACTCCTACTGTTAGAGGGAGTGACTGACATCCTGGGGCTGGGAAAAAATCAATGAAAACTTCCAATTAAAGCTTCCAAGCAAGTGATACTTAAGATGAGTCTTGACGGATGAGCAGGGCTTCAACAGAAAGACAAGCCAAAAGAAACGACATCCCCAAATGGCACAGAGCATAGGGAAGTAGTAATTCCAGCAAACTGTAAGATATTTGGTAACTTTGACATGTAAGTACGTGTTAACAATTGTGAGATAAAACCAAGAAAGAGACATCAGCCAGATCATGCAAGCCTTTGTAAACCCCAAACTGATAGAACTATTAGTCTGATAGAACCATGGAGTGATATGATTGGATGTGGGTTTTAAATGCCGAGTCAGTATAAAATGCAGAAGACTGGAATGAGGGAGGAAAGAAGCTATGGAAATGATTCAGACAAGAAATAATGGCTAGGCAGCAATAGGAATGGAGAAGAGATACCATGGAGAATGCAGATAAATTTTGATGATCAATTAGATGTGGAGAGTGAAGGAGACAGAATCTTGAAAGTAGAAGAAAAAACAAATGTGTCACTTATAAGAAAACCCTTATAAGACTAATAGCATGTTTCTCAGCAGAAACTTTGCAGGCCAGGAGAGAGTAAGATGTTACAAAGTGCTAGAAGAAAAAATCTGCCAACCATGCATTTTTCACCCAGTGAAGTTGTCCTTCAGAAACAGAGGAGTTAGGAAGATTTTCCCAGACACAGGAAGGCTACGGAGTTCTTCACTCCTAGACCTGCCTTACAAGAAATGCTGAAAGTTCTTCAGGCTGAAATGAAAAGATGCTAACTAGTAGCGTAAAAACATATGATGATGTAAAATGCAATGGTAAAGATAAGTATATAGTCAAATTCACAATACTCCAATACTGTAATATGGTGATATATAACTCTAATATGAATGTTAAAAGATAGAAAACATAAAAATAACTATAACCACTGTAGAAAATAGAATGAAAGTTCCTCAAAATATAGAAAGTAGAACTACTGTATGGTCCAGCAACCCACTTCTGGTGATAGGGCCAAAGGAATTGAAATCAGGATCTCAAAGAAATAGCTTTACTTCCATGTTTATTAAAGCATTATTCATAGTAGCCAAGACATGGAAGAAAATTGTGTCTTCATTGATGGATGAGTGGGTAAGAACAATGTGGTGTATATATAGAGTGGAATTATTATTCAGTCATAATAAAGAAGGGAATCCTGCCATTTACATCTTGGATGAACCTTGAGAGCACTATGTTGTTAGGTGCAGTAAGTCAGAGAATGGCAAATACTTTATGATCTCACTTGTATATGGAATTTTAAAAAAGCTGAATTCATGCGAACAGTGGATTGGTGGTTGCCAAGGGCTGGGGAATGGGAGAAATGAGGAGGTTTTGGTTGAAGGGTACAAGCTTCCAGTTACGAAAGCATTGATTTCTGGGAATCTAAAGCATGGTGATTGTAGTTAACAATAATGCATTATATACTTGAAAATTACCCAAGGAGTAGATCTAATTGTTCTCACCATAGTAACAACAGCAGAAGGGTAAATGTTAGATGAGGGAGGTGTTAACTAACCTTGTTGTGGTATTCACTTTGCCATATATACAGTATCAAATCACCACAATATATGTTTTAAGCTTATACAATGTTTATGCCAATTATATATCAATAAAGCTAGAAAACATTTCCCAGAACTTATAGATAGGAGTATTTATATTAAAAAAGCCTAAATATTTATCACTTAATAGTGACATTTCAGCTCACTAAAGCTGAAAGCTTCTGGAGAGAAAAATAGGTCACCTGCTAGAGGATTTGTTGTAAGAATAGCATTTGTCTTCCTGATAGCAATATTGAAAACTAGAAAATAATGAGCAATTGCCTTTAAAATTCTGAGGGAAAAGAAAATTTAACCTAGAATTCTGTATTTACTCAGCCACACTCCATCAAGTAGGGAAGTAGCCTAAAGAAAACTTTGGTTGCTCAAAATCTCAAACCTCTTTCTTTGGTCCCTTTTCAGGAAACAACAGAGAAATAAGTTATTTATTTGAAATGAAGAAGTAAATGAAAAGATGCTTAAATGTCCCATCCAGGAAAGAGATTCTAATTCAAACAGGAGGGGCAAAGAATTCGTAGGTTAACATCAGTGGGAAGGCGCAGGATGACAGTTGTGTGATAGACCTAGAAAGTAACTGGTCCATGTAAAGCAGGAGGGCAGCCAGGTGGGATCTCCTATTGAAAGGTGTTTTATAGAGCTGTGGGCAGGGGGGTGGTTGTAGAAAAGACCCTATAATTTAAATCAATCCAGTATAAAATCATAAAGTAGTAGAAGAAAGAAAATTTAATTGAAATACATTCCTTGGCTCAGAAATGAACTATATATAAAAGTTATAATACTATAAACAAGTTTTAACCATATCTCTGAGCTATTGGGAAGACAGATGAAGGGAAATAGATGTAAACAAGTGTGAAAATCTTCAGCTACCATAAGAAGCCAGTAGATGAATCTCAAACTGGATTTAAAAAAGAGCAGTATAAATATCACATTTTTAAATACATGATAAATGCTAGAAAAAAACACAGTAAAGACTGGAAATTACTTAATCTCTGGGGAATGGGATTGGGTGAATGGAGGGCTGATTTTTTGATTGCAGGCCTTTAGAGCTATTTAACTTTTAATCAATTAATGTTTTTTTTAAAGATCAATGTTTATACTTCTATTTCTAGATTTAAATCAATTGATTAGATTATTTATTATAACCATCAAGCATCATTTCGTTGGTGATCCTGACCAGATATATGTGTCTTACATTTCCTTGTAAGACTCACAGTATCTAACACAATTCCCAGCATATGTAGCAGGCAATTAATTGTGTTATTCAACTAAATAGAATGCCTCAAGCTGCACTCCCCTCCCCCACCATGTCGTTAGACCTTCATGAACTAATGTACCAGAGACTCCAAAGAGCTAAAACCGACTTCTCTGTGGGGTAAAATTTGGCAGAGGCAATAATGTAGTCCATACATTTTTAATTAACATGTATTTTGTATGTATATTGCACTTAGGATATAAAGATGATTAAGATAGGTACTTCGTGCACTGGTAGGGCAAAATCTGGAGTTGGGTAGCAGACATGAGAACATAATACGTTAGGGCTCTAATACAGGTGATGATGGTTCTGAAGAGGGAAGGACTATCTGGCCAACTGACTGCTTCCTGACAGCAGGGGAGTGGTTTCTCCTTATGGTGCCATGAAAGACATTCCAAAATGCCAGTTCTGATGTCATTCTCTGGCCACCCATGGGTGTGCTTTCAGACTCGGTTGAAGAGTTCTTCCCAGATTTGATACCTCTGAAGCCTAGGATGATGTCTGTTACTGTCAACCGGGATGAGTTACACTGAAATTAGCTGTGAACTCCCATATATAGTTACAGTTGAATATTAATGATTATGAATTGGTAGTCACTTTGAAGAGCTAGTCAGTAAACTCATTTGAGAAGAATGACTTAATGTAGCCCCTAAAAATAAAGCAGTGGAAAGAGTTTCAGGTCAGTAACTTCCTTCCCAGTGGGATATGGGTCAGTAAACCATAGAAAGCTTGATTTTTCTTTTTTTTTGAAAGCCTGTTTTTTTTTTTTTTTAAAGCTTTCTTGTGACCTATTTTATATATGGGGTATTCTTTTGTACATAAGCATTCTGTGTGCTGACTTCTCCAGCTGGTGGCGATCTGTTTTAATTATACTTAATATGTATCATGGGAACATGTATTCCCATGGATGAACATTAATAGTCGATAATAATTAGCTACTCTAGCTAATAATGCACATGAATATTTAATAACTGCTACAGCTAGTGAGATGCACTTAATATTTAATTGTACTTCAGTTTTATTCAGGGTTAAATATATTTGGTAAAAGAACAAAACCATCCTAATTAGCAGCCGTTCTTACCCATGTGATATGAAACAGTCCACCAAAGCAGTGCTGTCTCACTGCCTCTGGGGGCCAGAAGGAAGCAGGATAGAAACTCTCATTGCTGAGTCTTCCAAGACCAGGGACCTGAAGAATGGTGAACCCACTATTCTTCCTGGCATTCAGGGTTTACTTCTGAATGTGGCAGACTTTTCTATAAGAACTAATTATAAAGAACACCACCAATAAGAAGAAGAATACTAACTGACCCTAACAGTGATCAGCCATTTAGAGTGTGTACTGTGCTGGGTTAACCTGCACAAGACCCTGTGAGGTTCAGCTCAAAATGCCATCGTCACTTTACAGATGAGGAAAGCATGAGTCAGGGTTTAACCAGGAGTTCTGACTCTTGCACTTAGGCCGCTAACTACTATGTCATGCTGCTTCCCATTATGTCATTTGAACCTCACAGTAACCTTGTGAGGAGGACAGTAAAAGCTTTTATTTCATTTTTATAGTCAAGGGGAATTGTCCCTTGGAGAGCATAAGCAATTTGTCTGAAGTTTCACAAGCAAGTGCGTGTAGCTGGGGTTGGAATCTGCTTCTGCTGACTTCAGCCAGCCGCAGAGGAGCAGCATGAAGGGATGTTTGGGAAGGAGCCTCTCGGGGTTGAAGGCTCCGCCTCCTCCAGTGGAGAGCCCGAGGACGCTGGGTCACACAGCACAGACATGGTACAGTGTGTGGAGAGGACAGTGGTGAAGCGAAACTCCGGCATCGAGCACCCGCCTGTGACCTGGCTGATTGCTCTAAGCTAGAAAGGCCTGGGTGTGAATCTAGGTTTGCCACCTTCTTGCTGTGTGAAATCTTCAGCACCTCACTTCCTTATACTAAGCCTTAGTTGCCTCTGTCAAATACAAATGACGTTTGTCTCACAAGGTTATTATAATTAAATGAGATCATATATGTAAACTATGCACCAGAATGCCTAGCATATAGAAGGTGCTTTAAAAAGTTAGTTGCTGTATGACTCAGGGAACTCAAACAGGGGCTCATGACAACCTAGAAAAAGGTGGGATGGGGAAGGAGATGGGAGGGAGGTTCGGGTGGGAGGGGACATGGGTGTACCTATGGCTGATTCTTGGTGTTTGACAGAAAACAACAAAATTCTGTAAAGCAGTTATCCTTCAATTAAAAAATTAAAGTGGCAACAAAAGTTAGTTTCTTTCCCAGTTGATCTTTTTCTTTTTTTCCATAGCATTTATCTAGCCGGCAGAGTGTACAGCAAAGCACATCTCAGGTAAGCAACTTAAGACAGGCCTCCCAGTCTTTTCCCTGAATTTTTTCTTTTGAGAAGTTATAAAATAGGTATGCACCAGGAAATTACTGACTTCTTTTTTTTTAAACCACTGACTGCTTTATTGTGACCTAAGGAACTCTGATCTCCTAGCAAACTTGGCTAGTCTCTACTCCTCTGTGCAAATTTACACAAGCACAATTGAAATGAAATAGACAGAGACACTAAAATGAATCAGTCTGAGAAAATAAAAATGGTATTTAGAATGGTAACTATTACTATCTAACAGTGTAAACCAAGTACATCAGGATCGTGACAGCATCTCCAAGAAGTGACTTTGAAAATGGTTCTCTGGAGAATGTATGTGGCCTGGCGGAGATTTTGAGTTCACTCATCAACTGGAATTACTGTTCCCATATCTCCTTCACTCTGTTTACTTTTCCCAGCTGTGTATTTGCCTGCCTCAAGCCAAGCATATTAACACAACACCTGCTACTAGCAGAGACAACACCTCTAATTTCTCTTTCTCTTACATGATCCCCTTCAGCAAGATGAGGAGAGTTAGTCATTTCATTTTCATTTCATTTAGGGTCAATATAATAAATGACTAAAATAGAAGTCACTGTCTTTTGCCTTCCTCGTTAGGTGGATACAGTGCGCCCACGTCATGGGGAAAGCTGTCGGATACCAGTACCACATCACTTCTTCCTCAGTCTGAAGAGTCTCACCTACAACACCATTGGGGAAGATACTGATGTCTTCTTTTCCTTATATGATATGAGAGAAGGCAAGCAGATCAGGTAAAAGTCGCTAGAAGCTCTGGCGAGGTTGAGACTGTTTTCAAATGCTATGTCCTGGATCATGGGCATCTCTAGACTTCAGAGAAGATAGATGTACAGAGGAGAAAAAACAAGATGAAGTAACCTACTCTTATTTGGCTGAGGGTTTTCGTTCAAATCCAGTTATCCCTGAAGTCACAAGGGACCTCTTTTGTATCCTGTGCCTATTTTCCCCTCAGTCTTGGCCATCACCAGCTCAGGGAAAGAAGAGGATGCATCTGTCTATTCAGTGCCAGAGAAAACACAAAGGAGAAACATAGGACAAAGCAAATTCAGCAAAGAGACCCTGCTCTTGAATGCAGGAAGCCTTGGACTCTACTTTTCTGCGTTTGAGAGAGGGGGTTCCCAAGGAAATAGGCTAATGTTGTTCTGTCTAAGGGTAGCCCCAGCCCTCATTTTCAGCCCGGCGCTGTAAGAGGGAGAGCATCTTCTGGACAAAAGGAAAAGTTGTACTGACTCCATCATTCCTTTTTGCCTTGGGTTGGAGGAGAAGCCACGTAAAGAGGCTGACATGCAATAGACCGTGTGTCTTGACAGAGCAGTGAGGCATGAGCCACTGTGGCAGTGCTTTTCCCCTTGAAAGGTAGGGAGAAATCAAGGCAGTTCTAGGCTTCTCTTCCTCTACAGTTCAGCAAGGCTCTGATGGAGTGAGAAGACCTTTGTGGGGAGCCCCAGCTTTTCTTTGTGGTTATATTCTAGGTAGAGCAGAGAGAAAATAAATCTTGGGATACTTCTATATTGGTTGGGAACTTTCTGTGATAAGACTGCTTTATGGGTGGTGGTGGTTGTTTTACTTAAGATTTGAAAACAGCTGTTTTACTTTTCCAATTGCATCCTATACATTTGAGAAAGTTTAAAATGGAAGTTATAACAGAGTATAAAAACAGCAGTTATTTTGTGTGTTCCCTGGTACCTCTAATCTTGACTATCCTGCCATGCCTGCCTCCTTCCAAAGCCCTGTGTTTCACTTTGACATGGGAGTAAAATGATACACTTACTGATGAGAGCATGTGGAGCCTTGTCACCAGTGGCTCCCAGTATGTATCCCAGTAGATTCTCACTGCTCTTATTTTTCCACTATACCAGAGGTTTGTAAACTGTATTATTTATATTTGTGTATGGAAGAATCCTTTCTTCAAGCTAATTTCTATGAGGAGTTCCAATAAATGAAAGAGATGAAATAGAACTACTCAATTGTTGAAAGGGAAAATAATAGGAATCTTACAGTGTCCATGCCCCTATCTAGTGAGTACCCTGTGAAACCACTGAAAGTCCAGGGGTGACAGTTTGAAAACCAGAGCACAGTATTTGTCATCTTTGAGTGCCAGGGACTATGTCTTCTCTATGACCCTAGCACCACGCACAGTGCCTGTGCCTGGTACTTTTTTTTTTTTTTTTAATTGGATCTACTGTATAGAAAAGACTCAAACCCAGTCGAGGCACCCCATTGCTCTGGTTTGCAATTCACGTAGAATCATCAATCCATGCAGTTGTTTTATCTTTGGACTTATTGTTTATAATTTAGTCTCAAGAAACAACAGAACATTTTAAAAGAAGAAATATTAAAAAATTGTTTTAGAGTTCCTGGAAATTATTAGGTCATTTAAAATCCCTACATATTAGAGAACTATACCACCTTGAGATTCACATAATAAAACTGTAAGCTTCTTAGTTGAAAATATACACTTTTTTAGTTTTAAGAGTGAACTACTAGGTAGATTTTAGACCTAGGTTTAATCAATAAACACTCTTTCTTCTTTCCATTAGGATTTGTGTAGTATGTAAGGTCTTAAAATTTTTAGGTCACTGAGCTGGTATTATCAGATAATTCTGCTTTCATTATGATTAGTTGTCAAATTGATTGCATGTTACTTTTCTCGGAGCAATTGTCAGAAGTTGCAAGAGACTAGGGAGATACATCACATCAGATGTACCAAGAATTGGTACAGAGCAATTGGTTTGTTTCTTCTCCTCAAGACAACTCCTTGAGTGACTGTTTTTACACTCAGATATTTCTAGTCTAGTCTCCAGTCGCATGGTGCTCGTGTTCAGTAGTGCCAGAACACTCTCCCCTCTGTGACAAAGAGTACAGGAGATATTAGCTAAACTAAAGACCCACTATTCCTCTCAGTCTCATTGCTGGTTTCACAGGCAAATCTAGAGGGGCTAAAGTGAATGACAGATTGCCAGCCCACATCATGTATTTTGATACATGTTGACTGATGAGTATTGGATAGTCTGCTGGAGGTCAGAAGCAGCAGCTGCCATTTCATCATTCCAGAATCATAAATATTTAGCCTTGAAATCTAAATCTCTAATTAAGACGTCTCCCCTGAGCTTCAGGTCCTCATTTATTTTTTCCTACCAGACATATGCCCTTGGGTGTCCTTCAGACATCCATCATCGTTCCTAAACGACGTTCATTTTCTTTTCTTCACACATACACTTTCTCCTTAAATCAAGTGAAAGGCATTTGCTCAGAGATCCATGTCAGAAACTTAGGGAGCCTCTTAGGCTCCTGCATCTCTATCTCCTCTCTGTCTCTTCTCAATTAATCACTGTATCCTGTTAACATCTGTCTCCTAATGCCAGTCAAATCACTGCCCTCGCTTTATCCTTGCTGTCACCCCAGATCCTTCATGTTTCTCCCCAACATAGACTCCCTGAATCTGTCTTCCTTCCCTAAGTTATCCTCCACACCACTGCCATACTTCTTTTTTAAAAATGAAAACTGTTCATGTCAGCTCCCACTTAGCCTTAAAAACCCTTGTTACTTAGCATGGCGTAAAAGACCCAGCATAATGTAATTCTGCCTATTTCTCTCACCTTATCTCCTGATGACTTATTTGGCTTTTTCTAAACATGCCTTGCTCTTTCATACCTCTCTACCTTTGTTGGCTTGGTAAACTCCTGTTCATTGTTTACAACTCAACTTTATGAAACCTCCCTCATTCTATTTATGAATAGAATCAGTCCGGGGCTTCCTTGTGCACGTGATGTCATCCTGCACCTAACTTTCTCCCATTACCAGATATTATATTGTAATTATATACATGCATATAGATTTCCTCCACTGGAATGGGAGCTTCCTTGTATGTCTTTTGTTCCATTTTCTCCCTAGTGCCAAGCATAGAACTTTGAATATTGGAGCGTTAAGTAGTTATTGAATGAATGAATAAGTCCATCCATCAAATAAGTACCAATAAATCTCCTGTGAACCCAAGAAATTTTCATGTAATTGAACAGTATAGCAAGCATTTACTGAGGCTTTCTTGTTTGTGGGCCCCTGCAATACCTGCTGGGGATTTAGAGGAAGAAAAAGAAATGTCTCTGCTGCTAAACAGGTCTGAACAAGGCATTACAGAATTCCTAAAAGATGTAAAACATGTTATTCCCAATTTTAAGTACCAAACAAACAGAGTGGAAAAGTAAGATGGGCAGATGACTTATTGACATGTGGTAAGACTTTAAGCACAATAAGAAGCCAGGGAAAAACAAACAAAAAAATGGAACCTATTAAGAGAGAAGTTTTTATAGAACTGACAAGCTGAAAAAAAATGAGAAGTCCTATCCAAATCCTGGTTGTTTTATATATTTTTTCTAATTAATTATATTTTAGACTGATTTATATTTATGATTAAATTGTATGGTTTGGGAAAGAAATACAGCCAGCTTTGCAATGATATACTGGGAGAGATGGCTTTTTCTTTCATGGTGAGCTAGGTCAGTTGTCACCAGGGTTTTGAATTCAACATTTGAGGAACTTTTTTTTTTAAAAAAGGAAAAGAAGTCAGGGAAGAAATGGGTCTTTGAGAGACTGAGAAGACCTCAAGGGTTCTTGGAGAAAATGAAAGTAGTTGAAAAAGAGTGGCCAGTATCCAGATAAGGTATTAACTTGTTTGTTCAACTGATATTTATTAAGCATCTACCGAGTATTGTTTTAGATGCTAGGTACACTGGGATGGGCAAGAGAAATCTGCTTGTCTTCCTGGAGGTTATAAACTAGTAGAGAGACTAACTGTTTCTAGTAGAGAGACTGTTGAACACATGGTCACATGAGTAAGTACAAAGTTTAAAAACTGTCATAAATGCTATAAAGGAAAAGCATGCATGGGGCTGTGAAACCTCATGTATACTGGAGTGCAGGGAAGGAAGCTCTTACGGCATCCAAACTAAGGCTTAATGTTTGAGTAAAGAAAAAAAGAGTGGATAATGTGATCTAGGCAGAAGAAGGTTTAGATGCAGCGAAGAACTTCGTACATTCAGAGAACTGGGAGGCAGTCATCATTGGTATACAGTGAGTGAGAAAAGGAAAGGACATTGTAAGAAAAGATAGTCAGGGACCAGATGATGCAGGGCCTTATGGCCATAGAAAGATTTTGGATTTTATTGTAAGTTCAAGAAGAGAAGATACTTAAGCATAAGAAGCCCAAAAGCTTGAGTTACAAATAATAAAAATATGAATGCATATATATAGGAAATTGGAAGAGGCTATTAGAGCTAAGAAAAAGTTGATGTTGATAGTTAAGTCCAGGTCTTAAATCTGTTTCTTTACCTTCTTTGTTCATAGTCTCTTGAAGAAAGAAAGATCTCAGTAAATAATTAGGGAATAAGTGCTAGATTTAAGATAAAATAGGTCAAAGACAGCCCTGAAAACCCTGTAGACTAATTTAGACTTGAAGCATTAGACAACCATTCTGACTCCTTGAGTAGGTAACTGCCGTGTTGAATGAGGTGGTTTGGGATTATCCCAGAGGCAGTGTAGAGGTTAAACTGGAAAATGAATGAGATGAGTTGGAAGCTGTTGCTGATATGAGTTGATAAGGCCTCAGGATAAGGGGACTTAATAGTAAGATTAGAGAAGAAAGAGCATCTTGCCATATAAGATCTGGTCCCAGCCTCATCACCTCTATAATTTAATTTCCTATCATTCCCCCTTGATCACTCTACACACAGTTTCA